ACCCTAAACCCTAAACCCTAAACCCTAAACCCTAAACCCCAAACCCTAAACCCTAAACCCTAAACCCTCGGCATTTAGCCTAGGTGAGAGTCGGCGTACACCCCGATATAGTTTCCCGTGCGCAAACCCTACAAACCCTAAACCCTAAACCCTAAACCCTAAACCCTCATAAACCCTAAACCCTAAACCCTAAACCCTAAACCCTACCAACAAAGATCCATTTAAGAGATGGTGTTTCTATTAACTCGCGTAGACTCCCCTCAAGGGGGAACCCTTCGTCTGACATTCCCTAAACCCTAAACCCTAAACCCTAAACCCTAAACCCTAAACCCTAAACCCTAGACCCTCAAAGGTGTAGAGAGACACAGCAGCTATAGCAGCAACTAACGCTGCAGCAATTCAAACAAAAAAGGGTTTATGTATTTTTGCTGCTGCTGCTGCTGCATGCAACAACAATAGCAGCAGCAGCAGCAGCAGCAGCAGCAGCAGAAGCAGCAGCAGCAGCAGCGACCGCTCCTGCTGCCGATCGGGCTACAACCCTAAACCCTAAACCCTAAACCCTAAAATAAATAACAAACCTTCAGTGAATACAAAACCTTTTTAATNCCCTAAACCCTAAACCCTAAACCCTAAAATAAATAACAAACCTTCAGTGAATACAAAACCTTTTTAATAGACAGATTTCGGTTAGTCTATGCCACTCAGTTTTCTAAGGGTTTAGGGTTTAGGGTTTAGGGTTTAGGGTTTAGGGTTTAGGGTTTGGGGGCCCTCCACCGCCGACACAACAACAAACCCTTGGGGGGTTAGGGTTTAGGGTTTGTCTGTTTGTTTTTTCTTTTTCTCAGCACTCTCATATGAAATATGTTTTTGAGGGTTTAGGGTTTAGGGTTTAGGGTTTACGCTCTAGGGTTTAGGGTTTAGGGTTTAGGGTTTAGGGTTTGGCTGCCGCAGACACTGACATCGCCACACCCCCGCCACCCTGGGACTTCTCCTGCTGCAGCAGCTGCTGCAGCAGCAACAACAACAGGTATACAAACAGCAGCAGCAGCAGCAACATTAGCAGCAGCAGCAGCAACACTAGGAGCAACAGCAACAGCAGCAGCAGCAGCAGCAGCAGCAGCAGCAACAACAGAGAAGGCAGCACCAGCACTACCGAAGAAGCAGCAGAACCCTTCGCTGCTGTTGCTGCTGCTGCTGCTGTTGCTGCTGCTACTGTTGCTGCTGCTGCATCTGGCTAGTGAAATTACCCTCAGCAGCAGCAACAGCAGCAGCAGCAACTACAGCAGCAGCAGCAGCAGCAGCAACAGCAGCAGCAGCAGCAGCACCAAATGGCAGCTTCTGCAGGTCGCCGTTCCCTGAGGCTGATAAACAGCTCTTGCCAGCAGCAGCACCACCAGCAGCAGCCCCCGCAGCAGCTGCTGCAGCACCAGCAGCAGCAGCAGCAGCAGCAGCAGCAGCAGCAGAATGAGAGAGACAAGGATGGCTTTCTAAGGCCGTCAGCGCTGCGTAAGCGGCGTGTGTTAGCGAGGCCCCCAGGCAGCAGCAGCAAAGCAGCAGCAGCAGCAGCACATGCTCCTGCTGCTGCTGCTGCTCCTGTTGCTGCTGATGGGTCTGATACAGAAGAAGACTACAGCAGCAGCAGCAGCAGCAGCAGCAGCAGCTACGGCGACAGCAGCGAAGATGAAGCATACGGAAGCAGCCAGACAAAGGCTGTCTCCATAATCACAAAAAAGAGAAAAGCTGCTGCAGCACGCAGCAGCAAACACAAGCAGCAGCAGCAGCAGCAGCAGCAGCAGTTGCTGCTGCTGCAGCGGCAGCGGCACCAGCCAGACCGGATAGAGCAGGATGGCGAGCTGGAGCAGC